AAATATAGTATCAGTTCATTATTGTAAAAAGTCATGGAAAGATTTATGCATGGAAGGAAACTGTCTTTGTTGGTTACCAGGGGTGGGAGCAGAGGGGAGGGAATACTGCAAAAATAATAACAATAATAATAATAAAATAATTAAAAAACAAAAAAAGAGAGAGGTTGCAATTGCAGACTTTTTTTTGGTATATGTAAAATTTTAAATCTTGAAATGTTGTCTCAAATATTGCAAACACTATATTGGTCATGCAAAACATAGTTAAAAACCACATGAGACCTGAGGGTGACTCTTTTGCCATCTCTGACATATATGAACACCCTAGGCAGATACTTCTTGGATGAGAAAACTGAGGCTCGCAGTTAAATGTCCCATGCAATATAACACAGATAATAAGTTACAGATGGATTCAAATTGAGTCTAGTCTGCCTTTACCTGAGGTAAGTAGAGTGAGGAAAAGATGACTTATCTTTATTAAATGCCTACTTCTTTATGCTAACTTTTAACATATATTCATTTAATTTCACACAACCCTTTCAGGCAGGAATTATAATTTCCAATTTTCAAACAAGGAAACTAATGCTCAAAAGTTTAACTAACTTGTACAAGGTTATATAGCACTTAAATGTCAGAACCAAGACTCAAGATTATATGCATCTGATACCAAAGCCCACTTTCTGTCCATTTCACTCTCCTACTTGTCTATATTAGTGGTCAAGATTCCAGACAGAGAGAAAACAGTAAGTAGATAAGGTCAGAGTGAAGAACTTCATTTTCTAGGAAATGGAGACCTACTAATGGCATCTGAGCAGTGGACTGACAATAGCAGAACTATGATCCTGGAAGATAACATGAGAACAGTTTGGATGGAGAAGGAACTGAAATAGAGAGTCTGAAGACAACTTTGGAAGTTAGTGCTAAGACTGGGTTGCAAGACTTCAAAAAAGTAAATGAAGCTAAATGATTTGCTGCAAGAATGGTAAGGAGCGGATGCAAGAAAAACAGAGGAAGAAGAGTTGGCAGATTATGAGCTTGAGAAACAGGAAGAATGATCATGCCATTTATCGAAGAGTTCTTTAGCCAGTGAGGGGATGAAGTAGAAGCAGGATAAAAGAAGTGGGGGGGGGGTGTTAGTAAGCAGGTAAATACCATTACAAATTAGAATATAGTTCTAAATTGTCCGTTCTAAAAGAAATAGCCTGAAAGCACTTTCTATGTATCAAACAGACAAAGTGTGATGGAAAACTATCCTTGGTTCCTAAAGATGTGTTTGCACTGCTGTTCTTACTTAGGATTACAGCAGCTCCCCAGAAATAAGGCTGACTTGCCACTATGTTGGCTCTGTGACTATATTACATTACTTCCATACCTGAAGTTGGCTCATAATCTGCCAACTCTTCTTCCTCTGTTTTTCTTGCATCCGCTCCTTACCATTCTTGCAGCAAATCATTTAGCTTCATTTACCTTTTTGAAGTCTTGCAACCCAGTCTTAGCACTAACTTCCAAACTTGTCTTCAGACTCTCTATTTCAGTTGCTTCTCATCCAAACTGTTCTCATGTTATCTTCCAGGATCATAGTTCTGCTATTGTCAGTCCACTGCTCAGATGCCATTAGTAGGTCTCCATTTCCTAGAAAATGAAGTTCTTCACTCTGACCTTATCTACTTACTGTTTTCTCTCTGACTATGTTACATTACTTCCATACCTGAAGTCTTTAAAAATGAACAAGAAAGATTGCAAAAAGAAAAATCAATGTAAGAAAAATGAATTAATAAGTTAAATATGACAGTGAAACAAATGACACTAATTATTTTTCTATTGTTCTGAATTTCTATTTTCAATGTGCTTTCTAGCTTCATGTGTTCCAAACTAAGTGAATGAAAAGTTTCAGTGCACCACAGTCACCACCACCACCACGAACAACAAAAACTACTGAGAAATTTATCAAATTTATGCAATAAAATAAAGTTTGATTAAAAATATCTACCATAGGCCTACATCTTTTCATGTTGTTCACTTGAAAGATAGGAAATTACTGTAAAATATGTGAAATCTGGAACCTGTATAAGGGAGAAACCTGTCAGAGAAGGAAAACTCCAATATTTTTCACTAAAATGAACGATAGGAAAGTGGTACAACTGCACCTTGTCAAAGGCAGAAAATTCGCAAAACCCAGATAAACAATGCAGTTCTGTCGCATTCTGGCTCTCACAGGTTTCACCATAAATAGCTATGCACCCTAAAGGACAATTTTATAAACTTTTCCTTGGCATGTTATACTGAGAAGGATCACGTAAGTGACAATGACAAGAAACAAGTATATGGCCTCAAGAAGGTGAAAGAATACTAGGCCCCGGAGAATCAGGCAGAGTCTTAGAGACACTCAGGCTCTCTTTAGCAAAGCAACCAAGGACAGGCTCTGATTCATAGCTGTGCAGGTGCAGAAACTGGATTTCCTGAGAGCTGATTAGGTTTTCTACAAGTGATTCTAAACAAAGTTTATAGGACTAGACTTCTAAATACACATTTATTAATTTACATTGAGAAATATATTTTTAAGAATAACACACTGCTCATTTACTAAGATACAGTCTCCCAATTTTAGAATTAAAATTAGAACCAACGAAGCTAGATACTCTTAAAGAAAATTTTGATCACACTGGATGGATGGCTAAATTGCCTCTGATGTGTAGATCTAGTTCTGTTTCATAACATGTTTGGCTATCCTAACTCAAAATATCTTTTTTCCCTCTTGCTTTTTGGAAGAATCTTCTAGACCCCATGAAAAATTTCTGAAGACCAATAGTTAATTCAGTGGAAAATGTCAGAGATTTATACAGGTAGTCAATACATCCTAAGGACACTGCTTGGTACTCTTAAAGGAGTTTACTAAATCTCAGTCTCCCAGATGACATAGAGACATATTTGTCCTATCAGCCAGATCTACTTAGAAGCTAGATCTAGTAGCCTTCTTCTGCAGATGGTTGAACATATTATGCACACCTACTCCTCACTTATCTACTATCTCATTGTCTGACATTCTGTATTTGCAACAGTAGTAAAACAATCTACTATCCAACCATCTTGTGCAATAGCAACATATATCTGGCAGTAACCAATGCCAAAGTATGAGGTAAGAGAAACTGCTGGATGTGACGGTTATGTGTGAACTTGGCTGGGCCATGATTCTTGGTGGTTTGACATTTATGTAATGATGTAATTTAGTAGTTTTGTAATTTTTGAACAACAATGATTTCACACAAAAACTTGATGTGTGGAATTTAACCATGTTGAAAAGTGAGGAGTAGCTGTCCTGACTTAGAAATTTTAACCTGAAGTGAGACCTGTCCTTATTCTATGTCTAAATCACAGAACATTAAGCTGTAACCTGTGAAGTACTGAATGAAGTGTTTTCACGAAGGGAAAGAATAGTTCCTGATTAATGTCTCCTCAGATTATATTCAAAAGCCTATTTGTTGATTCTTTGTCCAACATGGAAGACTAGGCAGACACATGGTCCAGACCTTCTACAACAAAGGTGTGAAAAAACAGCTATGGATGACAATGATGGATCCTAAAACCCCAAAGGAAGAAAAAAGAAGTAGGTGAAATACCGGTAAGAGGAAGAGACTGAATGAAAACAGTGAACAGAGTTGTAAACTGTTAACTGGCATAGCATGGCCATTTTTTAATTACTGCACGCAGCATTCTAATCAGAGCAGCAAACAGAAAGCCAGCTCCACTTTTCCAGGACTGTACCAGCATCCAGACTGGTGAGCAAGAGACCAGAGAGGTATGTTTCCCCTTTCCCTGCACAACTCCCCAGTAACCAGATGCGGCTCTCTCCACTCCAACCCATGCTGTGGCCAAACTGCCAATGCTGGGCTCTTTTTTCTTTTTAATCTCTCTGCTTAGTCCTTCCATCTTCCCTGAAAAGCAGGAACTCCTCCATCAACCACGTGGTTAGTAGCACTTGTCCCCGTCCCTCCCTGGGTGGAAGGGCGTACTCTGGAGCAGCCATGTTTGGTGACTGGTATTTCAATAGCACTGTGCTGCGTCTTTTCTTTCTTCCTTTTTTATTCTTTTTTCTTTCTCCTTAGCAATTCCCTCTTCACCTACTTGTTTTCCCTTTCTTTTTTTCTCCCTCTTCAACCCATCTTTTTTATTTGTCTTTCTTTTTTCTTTTAGCTCCTGCCTCTACCACCCACCTTGATCAGAAGCACCTGCCCCGCCCCCCATGGATGGCAGCATGAGCTTTCCCAGGTTGAGGCCCATATTCCTGCTGCAGCTGTGCCTGGCAGCAAACATTTGCCCAAGTTTCCTTTTTTAAAATCTCTTCTTTTTTCTTTTCCTTTCTTCCCTTCTGCTCAGTCTTTCCCTCTCTTGCTTTTTTCCCCTTTTTCTCTTTATCTCCTATTTCCCCCACCATCATTATTCTTTTCCTTCTTCTTCCTTTTTATTTTTTGATCCAGCTAAATGAGAACTATGCTGCCGCCCCCCACTACCACGCTCAGTAATGCCTTCCCTGACCCCGTGTTTGGTGGTACATGTTCCCATGGAACGAGTGCCACATTTCTACCGCAGCCATGTTTGGTGGCCTTCACCGGTCACTTGGATCGAGTGCCACATTTCTACTGCAGCAGTGTTTGGTGGCTACCACTGGTCACTTGATCCTTATTTTTTCTTTGTTGTTGTTATGGTTTGTTTTTCTTCCTTTCCTCTTCTTTTTCCTTTTTCTCTTTTTCTTTCTTCTTAGGCCTCTCCTTTCCTTCCTCTATTTACTTTCCTTTCACCTCCAACACTCCCCCACTTTTTTTCTTTCTCTTTCCCCAGCAGTTGGGAGCCACTGACCCTACCCAACCATACCCACCTACACCTGCTGCTCCACCCACTAGACGGCTGCCACCACCAACTCCAGTACTACTGGACCAAAGACAGACAGGGGCCAACACCCACCCAACCTGCCCTCAGCTGCTCTGCACGATTGATTAGAAACTCACACCCACACTCCCACCTGCTACCAAATCTGTCCAGAGACAGGTGGTGAGTACTCTAGTGCTGCCAAACTAGCAACCAGAATCACACAATCACCTTGTTGCCTAGATATATTCAAAAAGAACTAAACAAAAATCAGGGTAAAACAAACCAGTGTATAATCAACAAGTTAATACAACAACATCACAACTCTCAGACAACTTCAAATCATAAACATATAAAAATAGGACATGATGCCTCAAAAAGGGAGCAAAGTACAGGGACAGAAAATCTCTCTGAGAAAGAAATGCCAGTGGAGTTACATGATAACGAATTCCAAAGAATTATATTTAGGTACCTTCAACAGACTGAAAGTTTGAGGAAACCACAAATATAATCAAGGAACACATTGACAAAACTCTAGAAGAATTAAATAAACAAATAAATAAATAAAATACAAAAAACACATTGACAAAATAAATGGAAATTTAGAAACAATACAAAAACAGCAAATAGAAATCCAAAGATTAATACCAAAATTTCAGAAATGGATAATGCATTGGAAGGACAAAAGAGTACAAATGAATCAATAGAACACAGAATCAGGGAGTTGAAGATAAATTTCTCAACACCAATTTGTTCCAGGAAGAATCAGAAAAAAGAATTAAGCAAAATGAAGAAAGCAAAGATTCATTTGGGACACCACAAAGAGGAATAATTTATGTGTAATTGGAATTCCAGAA